CCCTCTTTCTTCCCGATCTCGGACATGGCTGCATTTTTTTTTTTTTTGCTACTCTGGTGGTGGTTGTTGTGGTGGTTATGGTGGTGTCTAGGTTATCAGGGTGTTTCAAAATTTATATTTTAATTTTTTCTATTGTGGTGGTGGTGATGGTTCTGGTAGCGTCTTGGTGTGTTGGTGGTGTTGTCTTGGTGTAGTGGCATATGGGTTGGTCATGGCTGTTTTCAATATATATATATTTTTCTACTATGGTGTTTGGGTGTGGTGGTGGTGGTTCTGGTGGTGTTTGGGTATGGTGATGGTGGTGTACAGTAGATATCTGGATCTTTCAAAAAAAAAATTTAATTTTTAAAATTTTTTTTTTATTTTTATGTTGTGGTGGTGGTTATGGTGGCATAAGTATTATTATATATAAACTATCTCTATATGTATAGAAGAGATGAAAATGTTAGTTTGGTCCATTAAATTTAGTTAGGAGGTTAAATTTGTAATTTTATGATTTAAATGGAGTTGTTGACAAGTCAAAGGGTTAAAAGGTAATTTCATATGGTTTTAGAGGTTTGGAGGGGGTGTTAATGCACATTTTTGAAACCTCGGGGAGTGTCAGGGCAATTTACCCTATTTTTTATATGCTGAAGGGTATATAAGTAATTACGTGTTTATCCAAGATAGTATAAATAATATAATGTGAGAGAGAATCTTAATGCTCTCTCATTCTTTCTGCCGTCACATTCTTTTCTCTTCTCTCCTCAGTTTTCTTCTTCTTCTGCTTCTTTTTTCCTGATCTGTTTTTTTTTTTTATTTATTTTTTTATTTTTTAATCTCATAAACCAACTTGTATTACCTATATATACATAGGCATATGTTTTGAATTAGGTACCTTTTGATGATTATTGAATAATGTTTAATATTGAATTTCAGACTTCTTCTTCCCCAATTCTTCTTCTCTCGTCTCTTCTTCCTCTCTCTCACGTCTCTTTAGGGTCTACATCAGTCACTATCCTGTCCTACATCACATCAGTAGACAGAAGATGGTCTTTGGGCTGGCCCAATCTCATGTTGGCTTTAGACTGGCTAACTAAATTACAGGCCAAGATCTAAGGGCCTATAATCATTGGGCTCACATTTCTGTTAATGAAGAGAGCAGTCTAAAGTGTGGCCAAAGTTAGGCTGCTCAACATGATTCTAGACGATTCAGGGCAAAAAAAATGATTCCAGACGTTGTGGGCTTCCTCAAAACAACGAATGGTGGAAGTGGGAACCATAAAAAATGGACCTGAGCTGAAAATAGGCCAATGGGAGTTAAGATCTCGCATTCAACAGCCCAGTAATGAAGTGTTTATGCCTTGTTTCCTAAATCAACCTTCTTCTACTCGTCAAATGGGAAATCTGGAAGCGGGAGGGCGCAATATAGTGGAGCTTAGCATTCAGTTGGGAGGGGCGGTGACATGACAATGATGGAGTTTGAGAACAGTAAGTTATGATGGGTAGATACCAAAAAAGAGATGGAAGCAGAGGAAGGGATTTGAAAATTTGAAGATTTAATGGAGGAATCAGTGGAGGAAAATCTTTCAATAATTGATGTTGTTTCCTATTATTGAAGATTTGGTGTTACTAGAGGAATCAGTGGAGAAAAATCCTCCTTGTTTCCTATTTTCTAATTCTTTCCCTTCTTATAATTTCTTTTCCTATATAAATGAGCCTCCACCATTGTATTGTATATGAATTGAGAGAGTATGATAAAAGTGATGTAGCCCTTTGGGCTCTTTGCGCCGTGGATGTAGGCTTTAGTGGCTGAACCACGTAATACCTGTGTATTCTACTTATTTAATTTATTTCGTCGCTTCCGTTTTATGCTTTACAACATGGTATCAGAGCCTAATTTCTCGTCCTAGGTTGGCCCCTATTTTGGGTTATTCCCTTAGCATCTGAAATGTTGCTAAAGGTTTCTCGGTGCTATTTGTGACTTGTTTGGTCTGCCAGTTTGTTCTACAGTAATGTTCTTCGCCTTTGCCGTGTCTCCGGCAGTTTTTATCAACTTGTTTGGGCCGCCGGTGTGTTCAATAGCATTGTCCTCGCCTTTACCTTGTCTCCTGCAGTTTTTTGTTGACTTAGTTGGGCTGCCGGTGTGTTTGGTTGCATTGTCTTCGTCTTTGCCATGTCTCTGGCAGTATTAATCGACTTTTTTGGGCTGCCGGTGTGTTTGGTAACATTGTTCTTTGTCTTCTCTCTTCTCTCTTCATCATTCACAATTGTTGTTACTCGTCATCTCAATGACAAGTTGGGTAGTCATGCTCCAACTTGAGGGGGAGTATTGAAGATTTAATGGAGGAATCAGTGGAGGAAAATCTTTCAGTAATTAATGTTGTTTCCTATTATTGAAGATTTGGTGTTATTAGAGGAATCATATGGAGAAAAATCCTCCTTATTTCCTATTTTCTAATTCTTTTCATTCTCATAATTTCTTTTCCTATATAAAGGAGCCTCCACCATTGTATTGTGTGTGAATTGAGAGAGTATTATAAAAGTGATGTAGCCCTTTGGGCTCTGTGCCGTGATTGTAGGCCCTAGTGGCTGAACCACGTAATATCTATGTGTTTACTCGTTTTATTTATCTCTTCACTTCTATTTTATACTTTACCATAGAATTCTTTACCTGAAATTCTTGTGGGGATGAACGAGTGACAGAATGATGGGACTATTTACGGTGTGTGTGTGGGAAAAGGAGTGCAACTCCGATTGGAGATGGATAACACAGTTGCACGCTGTTGGCAGATTTGAAAATGCATAGTGGGGGCAATGAAGCATTTCGGGTGGGAGCTGAGGAGAACCACAGACAGGATGTTGATCTAAGGTCTGACAATGGGTTATAGAACACCCTCGGAATGGTGCTAGAAAAATCTGCAGAGAAATTTCGAAAAGATGGGAGGTTATCCCCTTTGCAATGATACTGTTCAGAACAGAATGGTAGAAGGGGAAGGAGCAAAGGTGGGAGAGGCTTAACCTCTGGCTGTACCTTGGACAGAGAAGGTAAGGTCTGTCAAACTGAGGATTGGATTACTCCAAATAATGAAGATATCAATAAAAAATTAGGGTTAACATAGGAGGGGCATGAATAGGAGGCTCTAGATATGTTCCAATTTATTGGAAGTGAATGGAAAACCGTTTGGGGCAGCAGGGAGTCTTGTCGGAGGAAGGGAGGCTTATGGAAGGGAGGAAGGGAATTGGGAAATCTGATCTCTTACGTGGATTATGATAGTATTGGAGGAAGGGAGGGAGAGACGAGTTGGGGTGTGAGGCAGGGAGAGGGTAGATCAATTGTTTCCATATGAATCTGAGGATTGGATTGTGGAATGTTTGGGGATTGAATGACTGGGATAAAAGGACGGTGGTGAAGATGATGTTGAGGAAGTGGGGGGCTCAAGTAGTCTCTTTGCCGGAATCTATATTGGTGTCTACATCAATGAAGATTATTCTTAGTTTATGGGGAGGTATATACGTAGATTAGGTGGCTCTTGATGTGGAAGGCTCCGGACGCAGGATTTTGATTTTGTGGGATAAGTGTTTGATCTCCAAAGCGGAGGTGGAGAAGGGGAGATTCATGCTTTCTTTCTTGTTCTCGCTTGAAGATGGGTCGAATTGGGTTTTCCCGGGTGTGTATGGCCTGGCTGATGATTCTAAGAGGGGCCTTCTGTGGGAGTAACTTGGGAATTCCGACGAAGATGGATTTTTCCTTGCGGTGTGAGGAGGATTTCAACACTGATTCCCTTATGACAGGCCTCAGGGGGTAGGTGGATGTCAGCTATGAAGGACTTCTCAGAGTTTATTAATGCTTATCGTTTGATTGACTTGCCTATAGAAGGTGCTCTATTCACTTGGTCCCATGGTCGGGAGAATCCAACTCTTTCCAAATTGGATAGATTCTTGGTGTCCGAGAGAGTGGGAAGTGAGATTTTCAAATTGGATAGTATGTCCTGGTACTCATTGAGCAAATCTCCATGTAGAGAATGGAAGCTTCCTTGTGCTGCTAGTATGGCAGATGGCCATGACGGTTGTGGGAATAGGACTCCAATGAAACAAGCCGATATAGTAGTACAAATAGTGTGCAGTTTGAACGATTGAGTGATTTTAGGTTGTACGGTTTCCAAATGCTCGAAGCTGTGAGGACCAGAACATATTGAATACTGAATCTCCACTTGATTAATCTAATCCTCTACTCAAGTCCTACTGTTTTGCACTAAAGTGTCTTGAGAAGCACTTAGGAAGGCTCTGGTGCCATGATTTCTGGAACTCATCAAGAAGCAATCGTTTAGCTTAGCCCCTTGATTTCAACATGGGAGGGGTTGCAAAAGAGAAGTTTAAAAGTCGCACCAATGTGGGGTGCTAGAAGTGGACCGCATACTGATTTAATATTATTACTTGTAAAGAATTGGTGTTTAACTCAAGTCTCTTGCTTGACAGCTAGCTTTACTCTTCCGCTAGGCAATGGCCCGGAAAATTCTCTTTCACAAATGCCAGAGTCCGCTCACTAAATGACTTAAAAATCCACCTCTCTTAAATTCTGTGTAATTGAGCACTTATATTTAAATCGGGCTCTTTTATTGTAGTGTTAACCTTCTAGATGGAGCAAGCATTCTCTATGGATCTTTGCAAGTGGCATTTACTATTTACAAATCATAAATGGCTTTTGTCCACTTCGTGCTTATGTTAAGGTTATACGTTGTAGCTGCACTTGTTCATAACCGTACCAGTATATCCATGTAGCCTTTAGTTCTTCATAGCTGCTGTGGCCATTGGAAGCACAAGCTTGAACTTGGAAAAGAGCAAAGCTTCTTTTTATTGTGTCATGATATCATTGTATTCTAATCTTGATTTGGGCTTGCTTACTGGGTTTTCAAAGATTTAAGACAAACTGGGGGGTAGATTTTAGAACATTTTCCTCCGCTTATATTGTGTAACGTATAGCAGAAAATTGCAACCTGACTCATTTAATATCTTTTCAGATGCTGGGATTTTTCCAACATTTTAAGCTAGCAATTCATTTTCAATCTGTACCCTTTTGGCTGGTATGTGGCGTTTTCTTGCACATTACTTTGTACAGGTTTTCTATAAAGCCAATTTATCTCCTATCTTTCTTTAGACATCTATCTTAGTTGCTTGCAATTGTAGGCACTGATGAGAGATATAGTGTCCAAGCCAAAGATTGTCGCACATGCAGCTGGAGACAGTTCAGCTAACAATCTGAGTGCCAATTCTGGACATGCTGATAATGAAAAGAAGAAGATTTTAACTTTTGTGAATGATGATATCTGTACTGCTATATTGGATATTTCTTTCCAACGCATGCTGAAGAAAGAAAAACTTTCCCCTAGAGCAGCACTTTCTGTTGGATTGCTGGAACTGTGGAGTAATGATTTTGAGGGCAAAGGAGATTTTGGCCAGTATCGTTCTAGACTGGTATGCTTTACATGGCTTTGCTTTTGTTACCAGTTTATACCATAATCTGCTGGAAGTCCCCCGAGTAGTTGAACAAGGTTTCTTGAAGATTTTTAATTGTGTTTTGAGAGTTTTAACTAAGGTCCTTTTATTTTCTTTAATAACTTAGTTTAAATTGGCAGTTTTGGTTGTTGAATAGAAATTCCTCTTATGTTATTTAGCATTCTATTTCTTTACCTGTATTTATTGGTGTCATTATTTCCTTTTTAAAAAACTTTCTATGCATGTGAGATGCTAGGTTAATTTCTTTGTCATCGTATCTGCAAGGCTGCAAGGCTGGAGCGTTGGTAATTTTTGCGTGTCCATTTCCACTGGATCTAGTAAGAAATCTAACAATGAATTTTGTTATAAAAGATTGCATATTTCCTCTGAGATCAACTGAACATGTTCTATTCTATGACCCTCGTTACTAATTATGAAGATATATAATGCAACTTGTTTACCCAGAAAGAAGGAAAAATTTACATGGTACAATTCTATTGATCATTATTATAAAATTATCATAGGGTAACATTCACAAAACCCTATACTTCCATTTTTTTGACACTTTACTCCTTGTACTATTAAACCACCCCCTGAACTAAAAAAAGTTTTCACATCCTTAAATGGTAGAGTATTTGTCTTTTAAGTTTCAACAGTTGCTCAAGGGCATGCTGGTCATTAAAAGCTTTGAGGCAGAGCACGTGATGCACACGCTCTAGGTTACCGTTAACTTTAACAGGCAACTAATAGGAAGGGGGTGCTTTGATCACTTTAAGAGTACAAGGGGGTAAAGTGTCACAAAAATGAAAGTGCAAGGGGGTTTGTGAAGCAACCCCAATTATCTTTAGTGTAATGTGCGCAAAGAATTTTTTATTTATTTTTTCTCAGACACGCAAGGCACACCCCCCACATCCTTAAAAGGGCATTGAAAAGCACCTACCTTTTGGTTAGTTGGAGATACCACTCAAGATAACAGCTGGTAATAAATATGCACAAGACATTTAATTGGTTGCGCCATTCGACATGCCTAAGGTTCAATAAGTATGCTATTTGAGGTCAAAAAACAGTGCATTGATCTTGAAAGCTTAATTGATTGGCCAAATTTGGATAAAGTAGATGAAAACACAGGTCTTATCTGGCTTTATTATTCTAACTCTCCAGAATTAGCATATTCCTTTTTAGTTGAGATTCATGGCTTGGATGCAAGGAATGGTTAAAGCTTATTTGTTGTGAAAGAGAACAGCTATTCATGGCTTGGATGCAAGGAACGGTAAAGTTTATTTGTTGTGAAAGAGAACAGCAGAAAATTGAACATGTATGGTTTGGCCAGTTTTAAGCTTCATACCACCATTTATTGGAGGCAAGACTTGTACGGATTCAACAAATACAAGTTCAAATACAAGTCATGAATGGTTGAAACTTGTAATCTCCAGAATTTTGCATAATGAAAACTTTCACCTGATCTCCACCGTGGATGCAGGATTTGCCGAACCACGATAAATCTTTGTTTTCTTTATCTGTGGCGTTTTTTTGTTCTTTTGTAATTCTTGTTTTTACCTTGGGTTCGCTACGTTTGTCGTAACAAACTGGTAATAGAGCTTTCGGTTCAAAGCAGGGATGGCGTCCAAGTTTCTGGAAATTGAGAAGTTTAACGACATAAACAATTTCAACCTATAGTGGGTTAGGATGCAGGCTCTGTTTGTTCAACAAGTGTTATCCAAGGCGTTGAAGGGGAAGGATGCACTGCCAGAAAAGATTAAGGACAAAGATGAGGTTATGGAGAAAGCACACAGTACGAGTTTGCTGTGCTTGAGTATCTAGGTTTTGCGAGAAGTTGCTGGAGAGGCTACGGCGGATGGGCTGTGGAAAAAGTTGGAGTCCTGGTATATAATGAAATCTCTTTCGAACCGCTTGTATCTAAAGAAGTGGTTGTTCACTCTTTAGATGCCCAAACGTTTGTCTCTGAAAGATCATCTTGACGAGGTAAACAATATCATCATGGACTTGAATAATATTGATGTCAAGATAGAGGATGAAGATTAGGCTATTATTTTGTTGTGTTCTCTACCACCCTCGTATGAGAACTTTGTCGATACGATGATGTATGGCAGAACTGCTTTGTCCATGAAAGACGTGAAGGCAACTCTGAATTCCAAAAAGTTGCAAAAAAAAGTCGTTTGAGGCAATACAAAATGTTCGATAGAGGGGCTTTTTGTTAGAAGGAGAACGAATCAAAAGGGAGGGTTTGGCAGTAGAGGTTGTTCTAAGTCTAAGAACAAAACGAAGGCATTAAGATGCTAAGAAGGGCACTTCGGAAAAGATTGTCTGGAGCGTAAGAAGGGAAAGTGAAAATCCTCTGAAGTTGAGAGTGTTGCTGTTGCAGAGGGTAATGATTCAGATGATGGTAACGTTCTCACAAATTTAGTCGGCAGCTCTTGCGATGAGTGGATTCTTGATTGGGGCTGCTCGTTTCATGCTTGTCCAAATAGGGACTGGTTTACCTTTTATCGATCTATTGATGGAGGGGAAATTTTGATGGGGAAAAATGCGGCGTGCAAGGTTGTAGGTATCGGTATAGTTCGAATCAAGATGTATGACGGCATAGCAAGGTTCTGTCAGGCATGTACCAAAACTTGATTTCCATCGGTTGCACTTACAAGGTTGGAGGTGGAGTCATTCGGGTTTCAAGGGGTGCTCTTGTGGTGATGAAGGGATTGAAGAAGCATGTTTTATATGCTCTGCAGGGTAGCACAGTCACGGGTTCAGTTGCTTTATCATCCTCGGATCCTGATTCAGATACTACTATATTGTGGCATATGTGGCTTGGGCGTATGAGTGAGGGGGATGGATGTTCTGAGTAAGCAGGGCTTGCTTGGTGGTCAGAAAACTAGGAAGCTGGATTTCTGTGAGCATTGTGTCTTCGGGAAGCAGTGCAGAGTGAAGTTCAGTATTGGAATTCACAGGACCAAGGGTACGGTGGATTATATTCATTCTAATCTTTGGGGTCCTTCTCAAGTTTTTTCACACGGTGATGGTAGATATATGATGACGCTGATTGATGATTTTTCTTGAAAAGTTTGGGTTTACATTTTGAAGCACAAGAATGAGGCTTTTTTCATGTCCAAGTAGTGGAAGACCTTGATTGAGAAGCAGACTGGAAAACAGGTCAAGACCTTGAAGACAGATAATGGCTTGGAATTTTATGATGGAGAATTTAATGAGTTCTGTAAGACTCATAGGATTGTGAGGCACCACATAGTGAGGGAGACTCCACAACAGAATGGAGTTGTAGAACAGATGAACAAAATATTATTGGAGAGGGCACGTTTTATGTTGTCCAATGCAGGGTTAGACAAAGGGTCTGGGCTGAAGCTGTTTCTACGGCTAGTTACTTGGTGAACCAGTCTCCATCGACTGCTATTGACTGTAAAACTCCGAAGGAGGTATGGTCTGGTTCTTCTGCTAGTTACAGTAATATGAGAATATTTGGGTGTCCAACGTATGCTTATGTGAATGAGGGGAAGCTTGAACCGAGGGCTAAAAAATGTATATTTCTTGGTTATCAACCTGGGGTCAAGGGATACATATTATGGTGCCCATAGGCTTTGGGAAAGAAGATACTTGTTAGCAGGGATGTGACTTTTCATGAGTCTGCGATGTTTACTCTGCAGAAGGAGGTAGTAAATTTAGGGAGAGCTCACGGTGTCAGTGAGTAGGTGGAGCATGTAGAGGTTCAGTTAGAGGATAGTCTTAATCAGTCGACTAATAAGCAGGTGTAGTTTCGAGCTAAGGGAGATGCATAGTTGCAGCTAGTAGATTGTGGCTAGAGACAGGCCTAGGAGGGAGATTTCACATGCTGATTTGGTTGCTTATGCACTTAGTGTGGCAGAGTATATTAATGAGCAAGTATCATGTACTTAGCATGAGGCTCTGTTGCCATGAGTGAGGAGATTGAGTCTCTTCATAAGAATCAGACTTGGGAGCTAGTTAAGAAGCCTAAGGGCCAGAAGATTGTGGGCTGTAAATGGGTTTTCAAAAAGAAGGAAGGAACTCCATGGGTGGAAGATGCGAAGTACAGGGCACTCTTGGTAGTGAAGGGCTATACACAAAAGGAAGGGGTGGACTTCAATGAAGTGTTTTCTCCTGTAGTGAAACATAGCTCAATCCGGGTGTTAGTTGCTATGGTTGCTCTATATGACTTGGAGCTTGAGTAGCTTGATGTCAAGATTGCTTTCTTACATGGTGAGTTGGAAGAACAGATTTATATGCATCAGCCTGAGGGGTTTGAGATTATGGGAAAGGAAGATATGTTTGTCTATTGAAGAAGTCTTAGTATGGGCTGAAGCAGTCTCCTAGACAGTGGTACAAGCGATTTGACACCTTTATGGTTTGGAATGGCTACTGTAGGAGTAAGTTTGACAGTTGTGTGTAGGCTTTTAGATGGTTCGTATTTGTATTTGTTTTTGTATGTTTATGACATGTTGATAGCTTACAAGAACATGTTTGAAATCAACATGTTGATGGCTCAACTTAGTGGTGAGTTTGAGTGCAAAGAGGGTATTGGGTAAGAAAATTCACATGGATATAGGAGTGGGAAAATTGTATTTGTCATAGAGGTAATACATTGAGAAGGTGCTGGAACACTTCGGTATGCAAACATTAAAGCCTATGAGCACTCCATTGGCTGGCAACTTTAGACTTTCAGCACGTTTGTCACCACAGACCGAGGAGGAGGTGGAGCACGTCTCGTGTTCCTTGTGCTAGTGCAATTGGTAGCATCATGTATGCTATGGTGTGCACTAGGCCAAACATTTTACATGCAGTTGGTGTAGTGAGCAGATAGTTGTATAGACTTGGGAAGGTCCATTAACAGACTGTGAAGTGGATATTGCGGTATTTGCGAGGCACTGTAAATGTTGGCTTAATCTATGACAGAGGCAGCAACATGTGTGGTAGTGTTAGATATGTTGATTGAGATT